GTATGATACCAAGATTACCCCTTAGATTTATCCAATTTTAGTAGATCCCGTATTTACTAGAACTGGTTTGGTGCCAGAAGTGTTCAAATTTCGGTAAGTCTATTCCTTTTCCATAGTTTCCTTTTATGTTCACTGTATTACCCACTAGTGCACCTTTTCTCCATTTCTGATATGTTTACCACTTCTCTTGCATCAAGCGCCAACTCTCTATATTGGAAATTTTTTTTCCAGGAACTTCCTTATACACTGATCTTCTAATCACATAGACTTAGCCACAGAGCTTCATGTACATTTATATGCTTTTATAGACTACAGAGTTGCCTCTAGCTAAGATTGAACTGTCGACCTTGTCTATGGAGGGAGGAGTGCCTAGACCACTAGGCTACAGGACCCTATTCCACTAACACTAATCCTATTTTTAACTAACCTCTTATTACTAGTAATGTTAGTATTTCTAATCCAAATCCTAACAATTCTAACAATACTAACCAACTTGAAAATACTTCTAACAAATCTTTCTTCCAATCTTATTTTAGTATTTTTAAACCAAAATCCAACTTCACATATGACTGAGTTGCAAATTTTCTGATTACTGAAAAAATATAACCTAATAAAAAACTGCAAACTACATTCTCTCTTTAACTTTTTTCATTCCTTAAAAAATTTTTCTATAATTTTTACTCTGGTAAAGAAATTAAGCCAGCTACTAAAACTCAATCTGCACTCAAAACTTTATTCTACTATATTATTCAAATTATGGTTAGGCAACAGCCTAAATTCTTAATTAATCTTATCTACAACAGCAATTCTAATATTGACAAAAGTGCTATCATTTCTTTTGATCTTCTTGAATCTATTCTCAAAAACCTTATTCTTAAATTTACAACCAACCTATTTAACAAACTTAATTATCTTGAAATCTTTGTCTTATTAGTTACTATTTTTTCATATACAGCTTACAATTATCTTCAAATCTGCCTTAATCTTGCATGTTTTCACTTTTTTTATTCAACAACTATCAATCTATTGATTACTAAAAATTTGCTAAAGACCTTCAACTTAGACCCAAAAGATTTAAAATTGAATATTTTACACAAATCACTAATCTTAAACAAAAATATCTTACTATTCAGTCAGATGCTAGATTTAATATTAAACTTTTCTTTAATATTTCTAAAACTTTTTTTCCTGAAAGATTTTGTATTCCTTTATTAAAAAATTCTCTTGATCATTTTAATTCCTGTTTGATACCTACTACCCTTTCTCAGTAAACAATTTTCTTCTAATATTGATAAAGAAAAAGTTCACACCTCTTTTAGAATTCAATTCTGTCAGCATTTTATTTTCTAACTCTCTAAACATTTTTCTAAAACTTATACTTTTAAAAAATCCAACTAACTTCAGAAGTGATATGAAGAAGTATCTCATGTTGCTAACATTTATTATCTCATTTGTAACAACAAAGAATATCAATATTTTGATGATAAAAAATTTTATGATAGCACCAAACTATTTAATAATATTCTAACTAAATTTTACCAATCATTCCCTTCTTAGAATGATGAAACTTGGATTCATTCAACTCTTAACTCTATATTATTTTACAAAAATAAAGAACATGCTGCTTCACTTGACCAACCTATTTTTACTAAAGCTTTAGACAAACTAGCTAATCAAGCTGAAAACTTTGTTTGTAAATAAAATAAAATAAAAACTAATTCTAAATACTGTAATTATTACTTCTATTATTATCTCTTTCTTTATTACTAAACTGCTACTGAAAATTATAATATACAGTTTTTGTTCAAGAAGAAGACCATTAATTTATTTACAAAAAACATTATTAATACTAAATTTTTTGTTCAAATTATTACATACTTTGATATTATCAAAAACTAAAAGCAAATATATCTACAAATTGTAAAATATTTTAATGATATTGCCTATTTAGCAGCTGAAAAATTTTATCAAAAAAATTCAATCTTGACTTCTAACTTGTTTTTATCTTAGACTCACTCTTTTTACAATCTTCTTTTTAAGTTTTTTGTCTTTTACAACCAATATTTAAGCAGTCACTATCTTACTAAAAGACATACTTATTGTAATTAGTAAGGAAAATGAGATAAGTAGGCAGGTGAATAAGCCTATTTATGTGAAAGGCCAGGATAATGACAGTCAGACCCAATGTATAGAGCAAACTATTGTACTTTGCACAGCTGTAAAAGCTGAGCATACAGTGATCAACTCTGTAAAAGACAATTTTAAAAGATCATTTACAACATTTTTAATATCCTATAATTTTCATACATGTTTTAATTAATTCCTTCTTTATTACAATTTACCACTTCTTTCTCATGATCAAACTATTCAAACTTTAATTTAATATATTGATAAATATAACAACAACAAAACAGTATCTAGAATTGCATTTTCTGTTAATTTATCTTACAATGAAACCTATATATATCTTTTTAATAATACTCTTTTACCAGATTATATTGTTATTACTTCATATCTTCTTCCTATATTCTATAATCTTCTTTTCAAATCTAATTCCTTTAATCTTACTTCTATTTTATTTAATTTATTTTTTAACAACTAGTTTTCAACCTTCAATTGTAATTATTCTTCACTATTATCAAATTCAACTCTACATTATCTCAACCTAACTATTGTTATACACAATGTTAGAAGCTTTAATAAACTTACTAAGAGAAAAGCATAACAGAATTACTGCTTCAATTATAACATATCTATTGCAAGCATCATATAAACAAAAATCTCTAACAAATCTAATCTCTTTTTCTGTAACAATAACTTTTTTACTTACTACTGGTCTAACTCTTCTACCTCTATAGAAAACACTGCTATTATAATTAACAAACATCTTAAACCTCATGTTTACAGTATTTACACTTATCCTAAAGATGCTATAGCACTTGATATTTTCTTTCAAAGTAATATCAAGTTTTACATTATTTCAGTATATCTGTCATCAACTAATACTTTTATTCACAACCAATCTAAAATAAAGTAATTAATTAGATCCAACAAGCCTCTCAACTTCATATTTATTTCATTATTCTTGGTAACTTTAATATACAGAATAATACTTACAGCTTCTTTTTTAAATATAAAATTATTAACTTTCATAATAATTCTAATATGTATAATATTGAAGTTCACTTTAACAATAAACACTTCATCTGGTCTAACAACACTAGCAGTAGTCATATCAACTACATCTGAACTAACTAATTCAATATACAATTTCTTCTTTCATACAGTCTTGATAATAGTCAAACTTTCACCTCTAGTGATCATCTAATTCTTTTTTTTATCTGAACATTTCTACATAGTTATAACAAACTTTTACATAAACACACTGGCATTAACTGTCATATTTTTAACTACAAAGCTATATCTACAGAGGACTAAAAATTTTTTGTAGATACTTTATCCCAACAACTCTTATTACACAAAACTCCTACCAATAATGAAACTCATAAGAGTATTAAAACCATTTGGCACAAAATTCAATGCTCTATTATTTACTCTGCTACCCATACTATTTCTAACAAAGTTTCTTACAAACATAGCTATAACTATTAATATTTACATTACAGTACTCTATTATATCTATTTCTCAAAAAACTTGGTTACATTATTAGACTTGTTAAAAAACTTATTTAACATTCCAATACCTCCTACATTAATCAAAACTTCTTTCAAATTAACAAACAATTACAATATAACCTTCAATTACTTATCTCTACTGACTCAACCTTTATTCAAACTTGGCTTTAACATGCTTACTCAATCTAAAAACAACTTTTTCATGCTTACTATCTTGAAAACTTCCTCTTACTTTGACAACAAATTAACAAAGCTACTGACAAAAGATGTGTTAATCTTACAATACATTCTACTTAGACTATAAACAGCATTCTCAATCATTACCACTAACCTGTTCACTTCACTAATATAAAACTTCCTCAAGAGCTTATTACTAATCTACTAATTATTAAACAACATGTTCAATCTCATTTTCAAAACTGGACTGCACATAAACCTATCAATCAAACTTGCTTTAATAATTTTTGGCAACAACACTATCATTCACTCTTTCACATTAATTCAACTTGGTATCACTTTCTTAATTCTTCTATTACTAATGATAAATTTCTAAAAACACTCTTTCAACTACCTAATAACAAAGCCTGTAATTCTATTAGGCATTAGTTATGAAATGCTTAAACATATTAGCCCTCAATGCACTACAATTCTTCTAAACTACTAACCTCAAACTTTAAACATCCAACTTATTACCAAAACAATGCTCTGTCTTGGCTTATATAGATAATATTCTTTGGATTGCTTTATTATAATCTAAACTATCATATATATTATTTATAGCTAAATCTTCCTTCTCATATAGCGTGATTGTATGTCACTATGTCACGCTGTAACCTGTTTGACCTGCGAAGCAGGTCATTTTAACCTGCAAAGCAGGTTAAAATAACCTAAATGACCTGCTTCGCAGGTTAAAAAAAAAAAATTACGTATATACATACGTATGTTTATGTACATACGTACTTACGTCTCTTATATAGCGTGATTCTTGGTCACGCTGTCACACTTTTTGATCGCAGATCAAAAAGTGTGCTACAAAAAAAAATGTATGTACGTCTGTACGTACGTACTATGACCTGCAAAGCAGGTTAAAAAAATATATACATATGTATGTATATACAGTATGTTTATGTACATACGTACTATCGGCAACAATGTTGTTGTTGTCCTTTCATATAGCGTGATTCTCTGTCACGCTGTCACGCTTTTTTTTAACAGAGATCTCTTAAAGTACACCATGTAAGCAGGGTACATTAAGGGATCTCTGTTATTATATAACATAACAAAATGTTTTAAACACAGTTATCTAACCACCTGCCCACCAATTTAAAAACTATTACAACACCCAACCACCCTTTTCAAAACCATTACAACACCCACCCATCCTTTTCAATACCGTTACAAGACCCACCTCTATTTTCAAAACCATTACAACACCCACCCGGCCTTTTTAAAACCGTTACAGCATCCACCTGGACTATTACAACACCTATCCACCCTTTTTAAAATCGTTACAAGACCCATCCGCCATTTTCAAAACCGGTACAACACACACCCGCCCTTAGCATTCCAAATAGTTTGTAATTAGCATTAATTAAAAAATTCATATATAATAAAAAAAAATTATCTATAAAAAAATAACATTACACAAATATCTGAATAATGTGATATGTAATTACTAACAGTACATTACATAATTTCGGATCACG